GGTGCATCCTGAGATTCTTAGCAGCCCCTCGTCCTTCGGTTGCTGGCCCGCCGCCGTAAGCCGGTCCCAGGGACGTGCAGGGTACCGGGGCCCATATCCTTTTCTTCTTCTGTTCATGATTGTTAGACCTGTTAATTTACCACTCGCTTGTCCAGGCTGTTAGTGGTACCGCGCGAGCTTAGCCGGCCAGAGATATTTTGCCGTTGTCAAACCCACACCACGATGAGGTGCCTGGGTAGGAATTTTGTGGGTTCTTTTTGTTATTATGACTAATGTTGCATAAAGAATGACGGTAGCAGTGCTGTAACTATGGTCTACTAATGGTTTCCTCCTATGGAATGAATCTATTTTTTCATATTATTTTCATGATGATTCTTTAGTAGCCGATATAAATATAAATAGAATTGCATAATGGCAATTAGTTGTAAATGACATTTTTAATACAATGCTATGATGTCGTCAGCGATAGCCAGTGTGATTTGGAATCTCTCTTTGCGGTTCTTCCCGCGGTATCATGGCGTCATTACCACCGTTTTGGTTGATTGACGTTTTTAGTACATCTCACAGTCGTGAAAATTTACGTTGAAAAGTACTTTGAACATTCTGTTTTTTACAGAGAGATAAAGAGATGGTTAGACGCCTGGAAAAATGTTTTTTTAAGTAAAGCCTTTGGAAGCCACAACGATGTTCCTTCTTCTGTAAAAAATTATCTGTGCTGAAAAAAGAACACGTTGTGACTTCAAAAGGTTTTACTTAATAAATACATTTTCCAGGTTTTTAACCATCTCTTCTTCGTCGATTACCATTAAGAACCTGGTTTGAGTTTTTTGAACTGAACTGTATTTTTTATTGACGTTTTTGCAGGAATTACACAAATACCTGTGAATAGTGCTGAGGAAGCGTTAAAACTTATGGTTGCTGGCCAAAAAAACTTGCGATTTGCAGCAACGAAGCTGAACTACAGCTCCAGTCGAAGGTAATGTACGCCGTTATTACTCAAGACAAAGTAAGACAAAAATTTTACGTTGAAAGAGTAAGTTCTGTTTTATCATTATAAATGAAGGTTTTATCATTATAATGAATATCGTTAGTTGAAGGAGCGTTTTTAAATCAATTTTGCGTTATTGGGTCAATTTCTTCTTTCAAATATTTAAGCGCTCCTCGTGGTCATGTTTTTCATAGGCATCTATAGCGCTATCTTTCTCTTCATGTTAGGCCAGCAACATTTTGGCGGGTCTGTCAGCCTGGCTGCATACCTGAAAGTCTACTGCTATTAGTCGTGTTCTCGGTTTTTGACTTAAGGTTTTGTCGCTGATCGTTGAATAACAGGATAGTAATTAGAAAGGACTGAAGAGTCCATTCTTCACATAACCATTTTTACCCTGTAATATTCAGATGATTTAAGATATTTATTCTGATTTTTGTTTCGTTCTGTATTCAGCTTAAAAAATTTTAGACTGGGATACTGTCGTTGTCTTTAAACATAAATGAAAAGAGATTGGTTGCATTTTCAAACTTCGAACATTTTAGAAATCGTTTATGTGGATTATAATTTATTTTTAGTCACTGCGGTTTCACAATACGGGTAATGAAAATTTGTCATGCAAATGACTTCAGATCGTTGATTTGTGTCAACAGGTATGCTCTGTAAACTTGTCATTCATTTGATGTGTTGTGTTTTGCGACTACTGAATCACGAGAGCAGCTGTACAAATATACTATTACTGCTCCATGACCTCTAACGAACTTTAAGTAAACGTAGTAGAGTGGAAGAATCTATCAAGTGGCGAGCGATGCATGTGATAGATGTTGAATAAAATTGACCTGCTGTTGACTACAAAATTTCTTTCTCTTTTCCCAGAACTCTTCGTTTTATGGCTAGAAATATTTAAAATCATTACTTTGATTGTCTCAGTATACAACAGTTTCTTGGTTTCATTACCCATGGTATATTAATATTTTATTTGTCTGATTTTTTTGTGACTAAATTTACTTAGTTTCATTTTGACAACAGATCTTTGTTGGTATGCGGGATGTTTAGATTCTTTTACTAATCAGCTTTATGTGAATTTTCAGGTTAACTTTCTTTGATCTTGCTGGCTCAGAACGAACGTCGAAAACTGGCAGCACTGGTGATCGACTGCGCGAAAGTGGAAACATCAACACTTCTCTCCTGACATTGGGCAGGTGTTTACGAAATATTCTTCAGAATCAACAGAACAGGTGTGTACCTGTGTTACTTATTGTAGTTATAGTACTTACGTTATCTACATTACTTACAATACCAGTGGTATACTTATTAGGAGATTTTGGATGGGTGGTCAGTATATCTTAAGATTTGACTTAGTAAACATAAGACCTTGTACGTTAACTTGTCTCAGTCATCAGTAGAATGCATCATGGCTAATTTGTTGATCACAAGTTTTATTTTGGCCCTACGTATAATGCAACGCAGTCGAAAGTACTTCAAGAGCCTACTGTAAGCTTAAACATAAATTCAGCTTACAACTTTACCTTACTATAGGAGGAATTACGTTTAGTTTAACAGATGCAGTAGAATTACAGTGCAACGATACGGATATTCAATGTGACCATTTTACTCGGCTTTGTTTTTAAGTGTTTGAAGATTCGCTTGGTGCCATAATTCTGATTTTTCAGTGAAAACCTCGTCATAATTCCCTTCCGTGATTCGAAGCTTACGCGGTTGATGCAAAGCTATTTCTCTAACGATTCCACGGTGTCGATGATCGTCAACGTCAGCAGTAGCGAGGAGCACTTCGACGAAACATACCGGGTTCTCGAATTTGCATCGCTCGCCCGAGAGGTACACGTAACAGTATCATGATTACTCTGGAGTATAATTCAAATGGCCTTTTAGGTAAAGATCCAGCAAAATCCCTCTAGTTCAGAAGTGGGTGCGAGCCTGACATGCACAGTTGTCGAGAAGCCGTCTGCCAAAGCGATAACTTATA